TGGGAAGGAAAAGGAACTCTGCACGTGTTCAGATTCCTGCTTAATCCTTTGATGCTACTGAGTGCTATGCTTCTGTGCTGTTTGCAGGACGTTCAGCATGGTTCCCACAGACCTTTCCAGGTGAATGATTACGAAATCTCAAGAAACAAGTAGACTGACTTCCAGGGTCTCCTGAGCAACGACATGTACAGCAACAGGCAAATGAGCTTTGCCGCTGGTTTTGCAACTGCAGCGGGAGACCCGTATCCATGAGGGGCTGGTTCCAAACCATCCCACCCACCCTCTGCAGATGCAGAAAAAACCCAGAACACTCTTTTAATAGCAAACACTCTCCATAGCATGGTTTCTGGCTCCATCTCGTGGCACGTTCTGGTACCTTCATGGGTTTTTTAAGCACGCACATTCATTGCACAGAGAGAGAGTCTGGTGCCCTAGACATCTTGTGGTGGCTGGGATCACTTCTGTTCACCTTTACACCACAGGTGCACACCAGTTTGTTTTCACTGGTCACCTCTTCTCCTTTCCCAGGGATCAGAGCCTGCAAGCACCCTGGGTCGTGTTGTGGTCAGAGTGACAGAGACCAGGACTTCAGGAGACCTGACTTCGAATCCCTGCGGAAACGCCACGGAAACTCACTGGGGAAGGTGGGACGGGTGGAATCCCTCCTTCAGGATCTCTCTTACTTGGAAAGCCTTACCATGGCCACCGAGACGCTCCTTCCAACTTGACGACACACAAAGGAACACAGCAAGAGTCTAAAAATCTGCCCGGGCTTCCACCCCAGAGGCGCCACTTGGTGTTTCCCCCAACACCCAGGCTGCTTCCGTACCTTACAGAGCCGCAGGTAACAAGGGCGGAAGTTGTGGGACCACTCCGACACACAGTGCGCTTCGTCGATGCAAGCGAAAGCCACCGGGGGCAGCTGGTCAGCCGGGGGGAGGCAGCTGGACCCTGACAGGCCTCCTCCGACCAACGCCTCAGGGGATAGCAGGAGCACGTGAACCTTCCCGGCCTTCACCTGAGAACACGCAAACGCTGCGGCTGACAATCAGGCACTTCCGTCTCCATGCCATTTAAACATTCAGCAGCAACCTGGCTGGGGAAGGTGAGCCTCTGATTCTTAAGGAGGCAGAGCCAGTCCCGGGTGCAAGGCACTGCGGACAATAAACATGTCGCCCCCCCTCCCGTGCTGTTAACTTCTCTTTCCACCTCCCCGGCCACTTCAAGGAACAACAGCTCAGGGACCAGCCTTCACCCTCGTTTCCATTCTACGACTGGAACATTCAGTCCCTGTCTGCACCTAAACTTTGGCCTGTCGTTAAGAATCAAGGTACAGTGGTGCCTCGCATAGCAATCGCTCCGTATAGCGATGAAATCGCTTTGTGATGGACTTTTTGCCATCACAAAAGCGATCACTTTGCGATGTCCCTATGGGGAAATTTCGCTTTGCGATGATAGGCCAGGTGATCGGCGGTTTCAAAATGGCCACAGGGTAAAAAAAATGGCCGCCCGCTGTGTTTCCTCGCTTAAGAGGCACTGAAAATGGCCGCCCCTATGGAGGATCTTCACTTAAAGGTGAATTTTAAGCCCATAGGAACGCTTTAAGCACGTTTTAATGTGTTTCTAGGGCCTTTTTATTTTCGCTTAGCGATGTTATCACTTAGCAGATTTTTTCTGCACAGATTAACATCGCTAAGCGAGGCACCACTGTACTTTTTCCCCTGAACTCCCAACTCCCAGAATGCCCTAGCCTTGATTGCCAACATGAAATCTGGGATTTGGCTCAGTGGTTCCCAACTCTGGATCCCCAGAGATTCTTGGATGGCCGGATGGACTGAACGAACGAACGAATGAATGAATGAACTCCCAGTCATCCCATTGCTAGCACAGCTAGTGGTGAAGGGTTCTGGGGGTTTGAGTCCAAGAAGCTCTAAGGACCCAAGTTTGGGAACCACCAATTCAGACAGTCAATCCCCTGTAATCCAAGCACACATTACGACAGAGATGCTGCTGTGGGGTCGGCATTCAGAGACTGAGAGAGGAATCAGGAAATCCCTCCATCGCCTCTCACCTCTGCACCAGGAACTCAAGCCGCTCTCTCACTCTCTCGCTCAGCTCCAAGCTGGAGCCTAGAGAGAGCAGAGAAGACAGGACAGCCTTCGTCCCACGGCAGGAAGACGACTTCAGTCTCTCCATCAGCGGGCTCACCTTCTCTAGAGCAGCCACCCTCTGGTTCTTGGACATGTTTGAGTGAAGGCAGACGGCTTTCAGGCATCGAGGAAGGCCAGAGACCTGCAAAAGAAGCACCGAGCGTGTCCTGCTCCAGGGCGAGAGAGGGACACAGCACCCTTCAGAGACAGACATTCCCTCAACCAACCTCAACAGAGGCCAGGGCCTTTGGCCCACTTGCCCTGGAGGGAGAAGAAGACGTGCAGGTTTTCATCTTATGCCTTCTGCTCGGATCCTCCGTCGGCACCAGGAACTCACTAAAGAGCCCAAGTTCAAGGAGCTCCCTTGAGTCTCTGCACTGCTTTCCCATCATCGTTATTCGCCACATTTTGGTCCCTGTCTCCTTCTGAGCTCTGCCTACTCTCTCCACATCTTTAGTTCTCGCTGTCCCATCTCTTGGTCATCTGCAACAGGCACACCATCGTCTTTTGCTCCTCCTCCTCCTCTCTTTGAAAACTGGCTGCTTCTCTCTGCAAATCCTTTCGTGGTACCAAACAGACGGGCCTTCAGCTGACATGCTCCTCCCACGGCTCTCTCTCTCCATGAAATTTCCTCAGCTTGACTCAGAACAAACATAGAAGCTGCCATTGGGACTCTTCTGTCCTGACAGGTTCGTGTGTGAAGAAATTGGATATTTTGAAAGAGAGGTCCTCTCTCTCAGAGGAATGGAGGAGCTGAGAGCACGGCCACAGAAACCCCAGCCGAGCCCAGAGGACTTCCCTCTTCCCTTGACTGCACGCCATCAGCAAAGAAATTGCACCGCCCTTCAGGCCCAGTGGCAAACCTACCTGGTCATCCATCAGGGACACCAAGGGTGAGATCACCAGCGTGATGCATTTGGACCGCTTGCTGTACAGGTAGGCCGGGAGCTGGTAACACAGAGATTTCCCCATTCCAGTGGAGAGAATCACCAGCGTTGAGAGACCTGGAAAAGGGGGGACAAGGAAGGAACAGAAATGGTTAGGAAAGGCAGGGGAAGAACAACGGGGGGGGGGGCTACGGGGCTGATCTCACTGGGATGCCAAAAGGCTCCTGGATCTTCCTGTGCACACGGAGGCAATTCCCCAGCAGGCTTGTTCTGCCATTACCTGCCCTGCCAACAAGGAGGCTTCGGTGGTATGCACACAACTTTGACGGCTTGACGTGTTTATTCCTGTCCTCCAAGCAGTTTTGGAAGATGGAGCACATCCACCAGCCCTCAACGGGGGTCCTCCAGAGGTACAGGAACCCCCCTCCCCCAGGATTCCCCAGCCAGCACGCCAGCGGGGATGATGACAACAGCTGTCAGCAGCACATTGGGACAGCACCAACGAGGAGCAAGGGACCTGTTGTAAAGTCCACCCAGCCTGTTTGATTCTTAACACAACCCTCAGAGGCAGCTTAGGTCGAGAGAGTCACGCTGTGTCCCTGCCCAGATTAGAACCCTGGGGCAAGCTTAGGAGAACTCTCTTCCATGCTGCTAGCGCTGCAGCTCAGTTTGGCACCCATGATCCTTCACTTGGAACATACTGGCCTGTGTGCAAGAGGAACACCCCCTCCCCACTTTCAGAAATCCTGTATGTCCGGGAGGCAGCCTGGGCCTGTATGAAGATCTGGAATTAAAGAGCAGAGCCTGGGCTCCCGCTGCAGAGAGAGACAGAAAGCAACTAGAATTTCTCAGAGACTGGGCCCTGCTCTAGTTAAGCGGCCAGAGAGCACCCTCATCAAAGTCTAAGGGAATACATATCTGCTAGCGCATGGAGGGAATGAGCTTTCTCCAGCCCACGGCAGGATTTCAGATTCTCACTGGTTCAGGAATCCATGCAGCGAAGCCTTTCTTGGCAGCGGCTGCTGCTGCATGGGGCAGGGAGCTGTCCACAGAGAGGGTGCTGAAATCAGACCTGAGAACTGACAAGGCCACACAACGGGCAGGCCCCGGAGCACAAGAAAGCTGGAACTCACCCCAGCTCTTGACTGAAAGGCCAAAGCAGTAAGGCCTCCGGGGTCTCCAGGGGTGGGAAATCGGAGCCAGCCATTCAACCAGGAGGGAACAGGAGAACCTGGAATTACTGTTTCCTTTCCCTCTTGGTTCAGAAAAAGGGACCAGGTGGGCCATAAAGTAATACCCACACATGGCATTGAAGGGGACGTGCAGCTCAGGAAGAAGGTTGGGGGGACGGATGGATTCAGATGACTAGGAAAATGTGCCCTGAAGCATCCTGATCCCTTCCCAAGTGCCACATGAGAAAGGACCCTCTCCCTGTTTCTCTCTCCCTCCCCAAACCAGCACTCACTCTCAGTGCTCCCACACTGGTCTCCATCTGCCCTCTCAAAGAGCTGGAAAGCAGCATGAACGGAAGGGCCCATGTTTCACATCTGGGCAAGAGTTTTTGAGACCAAATGCGGTTTTTGAAAATACTGTATCCAACCATCCTGGAGAAGCTCCTACTCTAGAAGGAGATTTTCCTCTCACCTGAAGAGGGAACTTTGCCTCCTGAGTGTTCCTTGTCCTCCAGCCACTAGGTATAACTACCACCCTTGCCTTCAATCCACCTTTGTAATTTAGTACACCAGCTAAAATTAACCTCTTCCTTTAGAAATATAAGCAGACATCTGGTTTCTTATTTCTTCTGTTTCCTGCCTCCCCAGAACCTGAGTGTTTCAGGCAACAGAAAGAAATCAGCAGCCGTCAGGCTTGGAGGAGATACAAAAAATGGGGATCAACCACTGATCTTCTTTCCCCCTCCAAATAGGAGGTGTATTTTAGCATCTGCAGCAACCAGCACTGGTTAATGCCCTCCATTGGCAATCTCCCTTAGGACAGGGGTCCCGAACCGCAGATCTCTTGGCTATGACGTCCGGCCTCATGTTGGAGCATTTAGTTTCTTCTTCTCCCGTCCCCCTAAATTTTCATTTACCCCTTAGCTAGGCAAAGAGCTCTGAAGAATGCCCAAGCTCTCACACCTTTGGGGGAATATTCTGGTTGCCCCCCCCTAAAGATACTCCACATCTGTGAAGGATTGTTTTCCTTTATTTTAATATATTGCTTTTTTTTGTCTTATGGTTAGCTGCCAGAGTAGACTTTGGTCTAGATGGGCAGAGTATAAATCGAATAAATAGATAAATAAATAATGTCTATCGTTGTTTCCAGCTGGCTGGATATCTCCGTGACTTGGATATCTAGCAGCGGAGCCAGAGGCTGATGGGGCTCGATTCCCCACTGTGCTTCCTCGGAGGAGAGCCAGAGCGTGTAGCCCTGGGAAAGCTGCACAGTCTCAGAGGGCTCCCAGAAGAGAGAAGGATAAACCAGTTCGGAATACCCTGTACCTAGAAAACCCTGGAAAATGTTGCCATCAGTTGGAACAGACCTGATTGTATCCTGTTGTCTGTCATGTGAGTATTTCATTCAATGTACACTTCCAGAGAGAGGAGCCAGCATGCTACCTTGGTTTAACGTGATGAGGATCCTCTCGCCCGAGAGGATCCTCATCACAGCTGCTTCTTGTCCTGGGCGGAAGGAGGTGTAGCCCAGCTCCTTCAGGGCTCGGAATACTTCGGGAGTGGTCTTTGCGCGCGCACACAAAAAGGAAACACCCTCCCCCCACTCAGGAAAGGAGAGAATTTAGGGGTACTGGGCATACCTCCCAGGGTCAGCAGCACAATGACGCAGATCAAATACTTCTCCCCACATTCCACAGCTTGGAAAAATATTTTTGGGTTACCACTAGCAGCAAAAAAAGAAAAGGACGTTTTCCAAGTTCTCTCTGAAATTGGCGCCCAATGCCACTTTCTTTCACGCTGCTGAAATACCCAATGGCGGGACCGCCTACAATAGACACCCCCAACCCTTCTCCAGGCATCTGATACAAGCATTCAGCACGGCCAGTCCTCAAAACCCACATCTCAATGGGGCACATGGCTTTGCCCACATGTCCCGTGGCAGGCTCTTTCTCCCATCCTCCCACATCCCCAATAAGGGGTGGACTTTTCGCTGCACCTTACCTCTCACCTTCCCGCCCTGCCCCAGGCTGTAGAGAGGCTCCATCGGCTCCGGTGGGCAGAAAGGTTCGCATGCAGGCCTCTGCGCATAGAAGTAAACCTCTTCCTTTTGAGGACCTTGCTGATTATTCTCAATATTTGCTGGGGAAAAAGGAAAAACAAGCTATGAATACCGGGTGGGCAGGGATATTCAGTAGTGACCATCTTCAGACACCCCGAGATGAGAAACTCTGCAAACCCTGACAAACCAAGGACCAGCAGGGTGCTGGTATGTGCTGCACCCCACCCACCCCTCCCCAAGGACAGCAGACTAAGAACCCATAGAAAAAACTCTGGCAGCAGCAACACCAGATGTCTATGCTGGGTTTCACATTTATGGGAGTGACGCTGTAAATTCCCACCAGGAGTTCCCAAGACAGCCTTCAGTTATCATTTCATATAAGAGGGCCTGCTTTAAATCAGGGTGGGGAACCTTTCCTTGGCCCAAAGACCACATTCCCATCTGGCCAGTCACTTAGGGGCTGCACATACCTCCGCAATCCCACCTCAAAAACAAGGGGAAAAAACTATAGAAAAAAATGACAGTGTGGTCCACCAGTGAAAAAATGGTGCCACCGGTCCCAGCTACTGTCCTACTGTAACCGCATCAACTTTAAGCTTATTCCACCTTATTTAGAGGCCAGCAACTGCTTGTGTTGTTTATACGTATGGAAAATTGCATCTTCTTGATATAAAGCGATTCGAAAAGCCTTCACTTCGATTAAGTACTTCCTGGATTCCTTCTAGTTTAAGGAGAAGCTAGGAAGTCAGAAACTAGGAAGCCTAATCCACATGAAAACATTCTTACCAGCGAAAAGTAAACATAATGACAAAATTCTGCATAAAAATAAAGGATGTAAACAATAGTTAACCACTTAACAACATTAACCCTCACGGTATATATTTAAAATCAAGGGAAACACGATGGAAGAGCAGGTTGGAGCCATCCTGTCCTTCTTTCAGTGATGCATTCCACCATGTATTTTGGAGGATATTATTTAAAAATCAGAGGCTTGGGGATCTCTTAGGGAGGTCAATAAAACTGGCTGGGAAGGGGTCTCATGATGCCTACCCTTGTTTCAGGGCTAAGCTTTATCTGTTCATGTTAAATCATTATATGGTCCATGTCCTCACCGGCAGAAAATGATTAAACATGGAGTTACAAAAGAGAAAAGACAGCCAGAAATGGTAGCCAGAACTCAGCCTGAGGTCTTGTTCAGCTGCATGCTGACCCTGTGAAGGAACTGGGCCATAGCAACCCTTTCCTGGTTGGAGTGACCACAGCTTCGAACGTGAAGGGGCTCCAACAACAGGCTCTCTGACCTGAAATCTTGCTGTAGGTTGTGTTTGTCATCTGAGCCACTTCCTCCAGAGTTAGCAAGGGCGCTTCCTCTTCAACCTCACAGCTGTCCTCTTCCACTTGAGGGTCGCCAGCAGGGAGCTGCTCTGATACTGGAGAAAGAGAAGGAACGTTCCTTCCAGATGTAATGAAAAGCCATTAAAAAGGGAGTTTCTCCTATGGGAGTGGCACATCGTATACTCAGCTTGCAAAAAAATATGGGGCTGGGATATTCTATAGACTGTTTTTCCCTCTAAAGGAAAGATACTGAGGGTTTCTAGGTCTTTTCCCCCTCATAAAATAGCTTATCAGAAAACTGTATGCAAACTCTTCATGCTGTTTTTCTTGCCCTTTCTTTTTAGGGTTGCCATGCTTAGCCATGCAGAACTCATGCCAATTGTTCTTCCTTTTGTCCCGTTTCGATGCAACATCATTAAGGCCTGGATTCCGCCCCACGGCCTCGGAGTCTTATCGCAACATGGAGCGGCTTACCTTTTCCCTTGCACTGCGAAGCCCAGTGACCAAGTCCCCCGCATCGGAAGCAAGAGTCTGAGCCCCGGTCCAAGAACCTGCCACCGCCTCCACCACCACCAAAGTGCTCTCCCTTCTTTCGCCATTTCTGTTTCCACACCTGGGGAGACATCAAGAAGACAATGATCTGGCATGGCTTCAGAGAAGCAGAAACACAAGCCTGGTTGTCTCCACCTCTGGACAGTCCCCAGGACAGCCAGTTCTTGAGGGCTTAAAGACCTCAGGCACATCGCGAGAAGGCAAACCCCCAAGCGAAGAGACAACAACAGCTGGAAAAACAGAAGGCAACAGGAAAAGAGAAGGACAGCCAGTTCTTGAGGGCTTAAAGACTTCAGGCACATTGTGAGAAGGCAAACCCCCAAGCAAAGAGACAACAGCTGGAAAAATAGAAGGCAGCGGGAAAAGAGGGAGACGGAACGTGGCACGGCTTGTCTTCATCAGGGAAGACAATCCGCTTTGAGTAGGCAAGATCTAAGCAGATCAGTTGAAGAGGTCCCTTGCCACAGGTCAGACTCCATTTGACCAATATTCCCAATATTGTTTTCTTCACCACTAGGGAGTGAAGTTCTCATCCAAGAGTACAAGCAGCGGCTGAGGGCCCTAACCTCCATGAGAACAGTCTTGTGTCCACTCATTCTGATTCCACACCATCCCACATTTTTGCTAACCATGTCCTTCGTGTCAACAACAGCAGCAACAACAAGAGGGACTGCTAGTTAGCAGTCAACTTACTTGTTTTCGAAGCTGTTTTCAATGCAATGCAAACCCTTTTACGTGGGTTTTCTTCTTGAGATTCAAGCGGACAAAGTTCCCATCCTTCTTGGGTGGCACCCTGGAAAGAGACAGGCCCTCAGTATTATAATAATGGTTTGTTTGATGTTTATAACAGCCATCTGGCTACCCAGGACACTCTAGGCGGTTTACAAATAGAATCATAAAAAAAAACAAAAGATAATCAGTAACGAATTAAAACAAAATGTGAGAAAAATAAAAATAAAATACATTTAAAAAGGAATTATTTTTATTGGCGAAGGCTTGAATGTACAGTTATTAAAAGAACCATTGATCAGGATGATTTAGAGTCCAGGAAAGCCTATCTAAATAACCATGTTTTGAACATTCCTTTGAAAGTTCCCAGTGAAGGGGCCAGGCAAATTTTGTTGTTCTTGTTCTAAAGATAAAGGGTCCTTGACATGAAGGAAGGGTGGAAGAGCGGTAGATTCAAACAACATAGATGAGAGAAAGACTCTCATGCCATGACAGCTTGCACACAGAAACACGGTAGTGTAAGGTACCAGATGGAACAACTCTTTCGCCACAGAGCAATGTCTTAAGGGCAGACCAGAGCAGGACACGTTGTTTGCTATGGACTGGGAAAGCCCCCCTTTCCTCATAGAACTCTGTGAATCTCGTCGGACAAAGAACAGAATATTAAACAGTGATAAGAGCAAGATGGTATAGTGTGATGTGTGTGTTCCAGGACCCTTCTCTCTCAGGCTGCTCCTCAAACAGAAGCCAGACCCGAAGACCACCTGAGGCCAATTTCAAGACCTCTTGACAGGAGATCCGCTTCCCTTCCCGGACATACCTGCAGGCTGAGCCCACGGGCCTTCCCCTCGGCTTGGGACACTCTCCCCCAACGACTTCTCCAAGTAGATTTTCAGAAGGAAGGGGGAGAACCGCTCCCCTTTCCTCTGGCATCTTAAACTCCTCTTCAGTGAGTCCAGCCTTCTGACTGACGGCACGCGGCTTTTTCGCCTGCCTGCCTCCTATGAGTTCTTTCTTTCTCTTGCGCTTTACACCAGGGGTGCTTCCTCTGGAACTGTCCACATCTTGTTCCTCCTGAGCTTCAGCCTTGGGTGCCCTCCTTTGGCAAGAGGCTTTCCTTTTCTTGGCAGGAGGACTACACGGCTCCTTCTCTGCTTTACAGGAGGCGCCTCTCGTCAGCCTTGTTGCCGTTCCTTCCAGAAGACGCTTCTCCCTTGGCGGAGCAGCATCCTTTGTGCAAATCTGCCCTTCAGAAGTACGGTCAATGCAGGAAAGCTCAGCTTTGGTTCCCGAGAGTGCTGAAGTGGCCTCTTCCTCATGCGAGGTCTTCGTTGTGGTCTGTCCCTCCTGCCCACAGGGCCAACGGTTGCCTCCAACACTTGGGCCCGGGGGATGCCCTGCCAGCCTGACTCCTTGACAGGCCCCTCCGGGAGAATCAAAATGCCTCTCTCCGGTGCAAGGGAAAGGGCCTAGTTCTTCCACAGAAGTGACTTCCGGAGATCCTTGGGGTTCGTCTGAACTATCCGGAGGGGCACAAGAGCCGTCTCCTATCAGTCCCTGCCCAGGCTTTGAGTTGGACCCTTGGCACCGGTCAAGCCAGTTGGGATCCAGGCTACTCAGTCGTTGGCTCACCGACTGCTTCAGGCACTGAAACCTGCCAGGTGAAGAAAGCTTTGGCTTTAGATCAGGAGACAGAAGCCTCGAAGGAGTCGGCCCTGGGAGAAAAGAGGGGAGGAGGGCTGCTATTTCCTTGGGATCAGGTCCAGACAGTTGCTCTGTACTGTCTTTTAACAAAGAAGCCTCTGGTGGTTTGGAAGATGCCGTCTTTGTGGCCTCTTGAGGGCCCTTCTGCGCTAGTGCGACGGACTTGCTCCTGTGAATAAGGGATTTTGGTGAAGCTACAGGACGCTCCTGAGGTCAAAACAAAATAATCAAAATCATTATCCAAATTCTTTCCTTCTTATTTTGTATTGAAAGTATCCCTATACACAGGAAACGCTTGAAGGCAGTTAGAATAGCTAACTCTCCTCTTACAAGCTAGGGTTCTTTTCCTGTATAGTTGGTCCCTGCACAGCAGACATTGGGTCTGAAAGCTTATATTTGTAAAACATGGGGTGGTAACAAACTAGGCTGTGCTTAGGGAGACATGGCAGTCTAGCTAAGCAGGAGCATTTATGCTCCACAGAGGTGGTCCTACTTGATGGTTTGGAACCAAACCTATGTGAGAACACCTCCTGGTTGGCTGTCACAGAAAAAGTGCATGTAAGGTAAGATATCTCTGTATCCCAAGTTTTAAAGAAGATCAGGAGGGTTGGGAAAGGGTAAATGTTGATTTGACTTATGCTGAAAGCTGGAGAGATTGCTGAAGAGCTCTTCATGCATGTTAGTCAACCCATAATTTATTTCACCCACTTTTTAATAGATGAGTATTGATGTACAGTTCTAAATTATTTGTGTCAAGTGCATTAGTAGGCACTGCGGATTTACCAACACAAGCATGAAAGGACTTCATGGGGTTAAGGATTTCTGGATCTTCAGTCTTTAGAAGCTGCATATCTTCTGCCCACAAACTGCGTCCAAAGGTACCACCAGTCACCCATAGCACAAACCTTAACAGCTGCTCCCAAGTTGCACTTCAGTTTCATCCCAAAATACTGTGCAGAAGCCTGCAGTGTGTTCCGATCTTTTGGGGTCAGTTTAGGAATACTCTGGCTTCGATTCAGGTGTGTTCCCCAATCTTCCACTTCAGAGACCTGAGGGATAAAGGCCGTGTAAATAACAGTTTAATTATTATACTCAGTTGTCAGGGAACTTGAAGAACTGCGGATAGAAATCATAGATATTATCAAGGAAGAATGCAAAAGAGGTAGACCTGTAGGCAAAAGAAAATAAAGGCCTAGAAGGACAACTGACAAAATTCTTGAAACTGCTAGCCATAAGTAAGACATTAAAAGATGACAGAAATGACAGAAATCTGAATGCAACGTTTGAGTTACTATCACATAGAGACACAGAGAGCTATTATGATAATCTGGTACAAAACCTAGAAGAGAATAGAAAAATAAGAAAAGCACAAAACCCTTTTCATAGGATCTAAGAAATCAAAGGGAAATTTAATCTAAGATAGGGGCACTAAAAGAAAAACTGTGGAATATATTACCTGATTAAGATAAAGTGAAGAAAACATGGAAATAATATATGAAGGAACTACACAAGAAAGGTGCAAGGACAACAGATTACTTCAAAGAGTATTTTTTAAATGAAGAATCTGTTGGGAAGGGGGCATCATAGCCTAATATAACTGTCTGTTGCCACTAATGTGATTGGAAAGTTCTTTTCCTGCCTCGCGCATGGGAGGTAGGTCCCGTTCCCTTCCTGTTCGTTTTTGCTTCCATTGTTTTGTTGACAGGCCTCTCTTTTTCCTCTGACCATCTTCTAAGCACCAAGCAAGTAAGATCTCCTGCATGCTGCAGACTCCATTCCTTAGACTCCATTCCTCACCCCACTTTTTCCCCCTTCTGACTGTAGCGACATATAGTAACTATAAGTAAAGATAACTTTTTTCTACTTTAAATGCCTTTAGTGATTCTGTCATACAAAGTGCTAGTTTGTGTGCAAAACCAGGAACTGCGTGGATGAGACTAGGCTCATCTCTCTACATTTTTGTGTTGTTGGTTTCTACCTTATTCACTACTAAATAAAAAGCATAATCAAATTCCTAGAAATCCTTTTTAAACCTAATTTCCCAGATGGAAACTGTATCTGTAGAAAGTAAAAGTTGCCTTTTAAAAATGGAAATAAATAAATCACCACAACTGGTAGTCGTAGTCATCCATGTAGTGCTGTAATTCAGTGGTTCTTAACCTTGGGTTACTCAGGAGTTTTGGACTGCAACTCCCAGAAGCCTTCACCACCAACTGTGCTGGCTGGGGTTTCTGGGAGTTGCAGTTCAAAAACATCCGAGTAACAAAGGTTAAGAACCACTGCTGTAATTGAATAGAGAAAGGCTGCTAACATGTTACGAGGGATTCAGGATAGAAGAAAAAAAGAACATTTCAAAAGGAGGATGGTTTGACTTGAGATGAAAAACAATGGATGAAATGTTTTCCCTGCAGGATCACAAAGCAGAAGCTATGTGCAAAACACAAAGGTCCCTTTTTTCACCTGTTCTGCTCCACTGTGTTCCTGAGTTGCTCGCTTGCAAACTTCTTCTGAATCAGTGAGGCTTTCATGATGCCCTTTGGTTTCCTTTAGTGACTTGTATTCTTTGTATAGTTCTGTGAAAAACAAAAATTAATTAAATTAAAAGTTAACAATGGCTTTTTAGCTCAGTAAGAATCACTTGGCCACAAATCCGGGATCTCTTCTAAGGCAGTTGTTATACTCAATTACAAGAAGTCTTGCGGCATCTTAAAGTCGAACATGCCCTAATTGCCACAACCTTTCACTCTTTCAGATGCCTACTTCTTTTGCTCAATAAAACTCTTTCCTGGTAAAGGCCCTACAAGACTCCTTGTTTTTGCTGTGAAAGAATAACATGGCTACCTCCAGCAAGCGTAAGGTCAAACTGGTTGCAACAGATCACTACTTAAGATATTTAAGCACCTTATCGATGCTCCGCCAAAGGACTACTCAGACAATTGTAATTAAAACAGCCGAATAGTTTTATAAGAACATTTGTAAATATGTGGCTATCCTTGTCTGTTGCAGCAAAAATGATGAGAGAGATGGGTATGAACCATGCTTTGGTGCGGCTCGGCAAATTGGGCCCGCAGGTGTTGTGCAAGTGCCCAATATTCCCCACCCCACCTCCTATGGGGGCTCACTCAAGAGACAGTGCCCTGGTCTTCCCTGCCCGCCTCCTCCTCTGAGCAGGTAACCCCAGGAGGAGACAGGATGGGAAGTCCAGGGCACCCACGTGACCCCTTTGGGCCAGATCTACCAAACCACACCAACATGCGGTTCGTGACCATCTCTAGGCTGGCATCCAAAGAATAACAAGTAGAGTGGTTGTTGTGGGTTTTCTGGGCTCTTTGGCTGTGTTCTGAAGATTGTTCTTCCGAACGTTTCGCCAGTGTCTGTGGCCGGCATCTTCAGAGGACAGCACTCTGTGCTCTGGTGCTGTCCTCTGAAGATGCTGGGCACAGAGACTGGTGAAACGTTAGGAAGAACAACCTTCAGAACACGGGCAAAGAGCCTGGAAAACACACAACAACCATTAAATCCCAGCTGTGAAAGCCTTCACAAATAACAAGTAGAAGTTGCCATATGCTTTCATAGAGAACAACCCACCTTATAAGTGGCAATGATGAAACTTCTACAGAACAGAGAAGTTATTTTTGCCTACATCTGGGTCAGACCCAAACTCAGTGATATCTGAGGGCCCTCATCACTCTCGTCCACGCACTTGTAATCTCAAGATTAGACCACTGTAATGCGCTCTACGTGGGGCTACCTTTGAGATTGATGCGGAAGCTCCAAATGGTGCAGAATGAAGCAGCCAGACTCCTTAATGGGGTGAGAAAATACCAGCATATCTTTCCCACTCTGGCTGCCTTGCATTGACTGCTCATTCATTTCTGCTTGAATTCTATCTCCTTGTTTTTGATCATTTCCCATCTTGAATACACTGTGTGTGTTGTGTGTTTAGTCGTTTAGTCGTGTCCGACTCTTCGTGACCCCATGGACCAGAGCACGCCAGGCCCTCCTGTCTTCTACTGCCTCCCGGAGTTGTGTCAGGTTCATGTTGGTTGCTTCGCAGACACTGTCCAACCATCTCATCCTTGGTCGTCCCCTTCTCCTCTTGCCCTCACACCTTCCCAACATCAAGGTTTTTTCCAAGGACTCTTTTCTTCTCATGAGATGGCCAAAGTACTGGAGCCTCAGCTCCATGAAGGAGTTGAATACACTACTGTATATTATTGATTCAATTGTTTAATGTTCATGATGTTTTTATGATGTTTTATGGTACTTACGTATTTGTAAGCCGCCCCGAGTAGATGCTATCTGGGGGGGGGGCAGGATAAAAATCTAATTAATTAATTTTGTATATATTTTGTAATCCTAATCAACTTAAGCCATATAAATTAATTAATTAATTAATTAGGGTTAATTAATTAATAAGGCTTAAGTTAATTATGATTAACTTTATGTTCCATTATTTTCAACAAATGTACTCTACATTGGAATGTCTTAATAACAATCACTTTTCTAATAATGAAAAATTAAGTAAGAAAGCCACGTTTGTTCCTTGTTTTTGCTTTGTTATTATCAGGAATGTAAAGATGGTTACAGCAATGAAGAGTTGAACACAGAGGCTTGGATTCTGACTTAATCAACTAGAAAACAGATCTACTAAAACGTGTGGGAAAACACATAATGATGCAACCAAGCCAATTCAATTTGACTGCAGAATGGCAACAAGAACAAGATTTCACGTAGAGCTCCACCATCCCCCGTCTCCTGTTTTTACCATACCAGGGAACTGAAAAATACAGGGAGGGATTCTGAGCAGCAACCTCTCAGCAAAACAGGCAGGCCCGTTTAGATTGCCAAAGCATTAGATGTCTGTCCTGCAGATTAGACTAAATCTAGCATCTAGAGATGAACATGAACCAGTGTTTGCGTTGTTTTGTTTTTCGACCAAAGAGTTGTTCAGGATTTTTCCCAGCTTGCCTCTTCTGGTGGACACCCACCGGAGGAAGCGGGGCAGGGAAGATGGGGCACTACCTCTGAGCGGGTACTCATTGGAGGACGCAGGGCTGAGAAGCGCTGTACACGTGTTCTGCCCAAAACACAAACCAGCACAAACTGCTGAGCCAGTGGTTCATGTCCATCTCTGCTGACGTCCCCTTGGAGCACAGAAAAGTAACATGCTGGAGAGAAAATTCATACTCACTCTTGATGTCTTCAGGAGCCTCCAAAATGTCAGCCTAGAAGACAATTACAAACTTGTCAAAAATAGATTTAGAATTTTTCATGGCTGTAATGCTGCTATGGGTCATTGCCCACCAAAGCAATCAAATCCAGGGTATTTCAAAGTACCTTGCTTGCTCTCCTCTGGTTCTTCTGAAAAAATGAAGCCTCCCACTGTTTTAATAACAGTTTAACTTTGTTGCATCTATCCATGACGACCTCAGGGAAGTTTCTGAAAGCGATACAGTACAATATAAAACACAAAAGAAACAGACATTTCAGGATACAGTAATTTGTTTCATTTCCCTCCCATTTGTTCAGAAACAACAAAAACTGTTCAAAAGATCAGGCAGCAAATAGCAGGCAGGGATAAACAGTCTAGTATAAACAGCACTAAGACTCCATCTACATGTTGGCATGGGTTCAACATTTGGCTCCTGAAAAGGCAATTCAGCACCCTGAAAACGTGGCTTCCAAATTTATTATCTTCCATTCAAAGCTACCAAAGCAGAGCTACAACGAGCTTCTCTTTCTATCTGAAGAGGCCATTTGCCTGTTATTTCTTTATTCCAGTTGAGATCATACACACACTTAATTTGGTCTGATCTTTGTGTTTTACATATAGTTCTACATAATGTCATATACAATTTCCGCCCAACTACTGTTTTCCCTGTTATGAATTTATATTGTCTATTACAATCTTTTTGAAAATAAGATCTCTGCCTCACGGAAGTTACCGCCTTTCTTTGCTGTTTTTTCAAGTGCCACGGTTGTATCATGGGAGAAATGCACTCTAAAATGAGATGGAGCAGGCTGGAAGAGAGGAGGTCAGGCTGAAAAGGAAGGGAAGGAAACAAGCAGGTGTAGAAGGCTTCTGTTTTGATTAAGGAAACAAAGAAGGGAGGTGGCCTGCAGCCCTCTGATATGTATAGGAAATGCTTCTCAGTGAAATCCTGAAAGAACTAGGGTGGACAACTGGCAGCGATCAAGCAGGTGTGGGATTTCACCTTCTAAGCACAAAAGGGAACCACTTATTGACTGATTGATTTTTAAACATTTACACCCTGCCTTTCCGCTTTAGAAGGCTCAAGCCTGCTATGAAAACAAAGAATATTAAAAGCTAAAAAAACCTATTACCATATTTAAAAAGAATTAAACTAAGATCAAATTTCATAAAGAAAGACAGAATGGAACCATTCTTAAAATGTAGTTATTCACTTTATATACTTCCCTGGGCGGCGCACAGGATAAAACCTGAACCACCCAACACCCCCTCCCGAGCACCACATCCACAACAGCATGACCAATAGATACAATGAAACCACCCACTGGAATGGGATGAAAATCCAAAGAGCACCTAACTTCCCCTTTTTTTAAAAAAGGCAGCATTTGGAGATACAGTACGTCGTCTTTGGTCATGGCCAAACTATCAGGAGGGATGGCCAGCGGCTCTCGATGTTGCACAAAATGGGGGCTAGGATAGGAGAAAAGGCTGCTTTTCTCTTGGCCCCATTGTTTTGATCCTCCCCACCTTTCCCAGGCGGGACTAGGAGAAGCACACGGCCCAGAGATGGCGGCTTCACCTTCGGCATCCAGGCCTTTAAAAAAAACAGCAACTTTAAGGTCTCTCTCGAGGTCGCAATCAGCACCTAGAAAAAAAGGAGCGTTGGAAGGGAGAGGGAGGCCACGAAGGCCCCCACCCCACTCCTAAGACGTGGGACCTGACTTGCTGGTTCCAGAAGTGGGTTTGAGCAGACATTCCCACACGGCTTCCAAGGGCAGCCCTAGGTAGGGAGCACAGCAGTAGTCTTTGTTTTTTAAAGCTTTCCCAAAGGCTGTGCCGCAGCTGTCAGGCCTTTTCGCTGCTATGGCGGCCAGAGGCGCCACCGGGCCAACGGCTGGGGTGGGTGGGAAAAGAGATGAATTCCTCAAGGGAGGGAATGAATGAATGAAAAAAAAACACAAGGTAGTTTTTAGGAAACCCCACCCCTCCCTGAGGAGGAAGAGGGTCTTTGGCCTGGCTGGGGAAGGCCAGGCCCAAGATGGGGATCCAGTGGCAGGGAGTTCCGCAGGAAGGCCCAGGAAGGTTTGATATCAGGGGGTCCAAGGCGATTCTGGCTCTGGGGGACGGGCGTGGATTCAAGCAGGAGGGGCTGGGAAAGGGTCTTCTCGGGCGAAGAGGCTTGGGACCGTTGTGTGTGTGTTTCCCCCCCTCCTCCTTCGGGAACGAAAAAGGGGCTCAGGCACCCGAGCATTTACACACACACACACCCTCCAACCCACCTCCACCTGCCAAGGCGTCCGCGCGCCCGAGTCCCCCCTCA